GAACCAAAATAAACCTTGCCATGCCATTTCTTCCAAAACAACTTCAATGATGAGGTTTTAATTTCTCAAGCTTTATTGACTAGGGCATGGAAATAAACTCATGAACCCATGGATCAACTTGCTAAGCTACATTGCCTTTACCTACATCATTAACAAGTAAGACAAACCAACATTGCTTTTTATTAATTAAAAGGAAAGTCAAACAAAACATGCATGAACACAAAAGAAAAACAAGTCAAGGTGCTTGGTGATTCCTCAAAGAGCAAAGCTAAAGATAGGGAGGAGAACCAAAAGCCCTAATGTAATCTTGTTGTGATTGAATCAATATGGTATGATGAAGGGATCTTAGGGGCAAAAATTGGGGTACAACAGTTGGAAAGGATTTTGAACCACAATGGGAGCTGTTTTTGTATTGTAATTTGGACAGGTTTTGAAGCTCATGTATGAACTGATTTAATGGACATGAAGCTAAGTGAAAATGTTATGGATTTGAATGTAAATGGACACTGTTTTTATGAACTTTGAATGGTGAATGTTGTTGAATTTGAAATTTGAAATGGATGAATGTTGAATAATGTTTGAAATTAAATTTTTAAATGTATGTTTGAACTTTTCGTCTTAAATATTTGGACCATGCCTTGACAACTTGGATGATATTTGGAATCAATGATGTATGCCTCTTTGCACTTGTACCTTAAATTCTAAATAATCCACATGAATGAACTTTCTAAACGTAGCATGCTTGAATTAATTCTTGATATTATGAACAAAAACATGCTTAAGAACTTTGATTCCATAAGGAATTCATAGATTAACACTTTGAATCATGCTACTCGGAAATATTGAATTCATAACACATGTACCCTTGAATCAACACTCCATAAAAATAAATCCAATACACTTCCATGCAATGCTTGATCATTGAACCTTAATCTCAATGCTTTCATCTCAAACTCATGTTAACTTGTAATTGAAGAAATCCAATCCCACTTGAAATAATAAATGAAATCTAAATCCATAATTCAATTAACAAGAAACATCTTGACTTGATGAATACTCAAAGTAATCTTTAGCCATTTGACAAGTATCACTACAAGAAGAAAACCTTTATTTAATCCTTTCAGTATCTTAAAAAGAAATTGACTTGTGAAGAAAGTAACCTTAGATGATGATGATATTGTAATATGGAGAAAGTAATGCTCAATATAGACTTGAATTGAGACCTTAGTCAAATGAACCTCCGTTGAAGAACCATTACCAAGCTCAAGCACAATGGATGAGAAACCCTAATCCTCTTGCTTTTAATACACATTGATGAAGAAAGTAGCTTGAGATGTTGAGAGGAATCAAAACCCTAGCTCATAACATTCTCAGTTGAAAACATGATGAAAAACTTAAGCACAACAAGTTAAAATCCTAATGCACTTGTTCTTGAGGAATCTTGATTAAGATGACCTTGTAGCTTGATGAACCTTGCCAAAGAAGATATTCATGATGATTATGAATCAAAACCCTAGTTCCATAATCCATGATTGATGAAAGAACCAGTTGAATCAACTTGAGTGAAGTAGGAGCCTCAATCCATAGAGAAAAACCCTAATTCTAAGAATTCTTTGATCCCATGCCTTAAGAGCTTAAACAAATGAATGATTTGTGATGCAAATGCAAACGATGTTATAAATGGAATCTTAGGGGTAAAAATTAGGGTATGATAACTTCCCTTTTTTAAGTTTCTTCTATCTGGAAAGATGAAGATTGTAATTCTTTGCATCGATGAGATTGAAGAGACTTAAATACAAAATACCTGATGTTTAGCTCTATGATGTCGTGAAATGCTTATGATATGAATGCAGATGTAAAGAACTGTGGGGAAATAATGCCACATGAGACAAACTACAACTAGATTTGCTAGAAAATATGGTTAAGCTTAATACCGTTGGAGCCAAGAAAGATAATAATGTTTCTGGCAGTGGGGGAATAATCATAGATCATTTGGGGATTTGGATAAGTGGGTTCTCCAAGAATCTGGGATCAAGTGGTGCTTTATTATCAGAGTTTTGGGGAGTTCTTAAAGGCTTAAGGATTATAAAAGCTTTAGGTTTCAAGAGATTGGAGGTTAATATTGATTCTAAGGTGGTGGTAAATGTTATCCGTGAAGGAAATATAAGCAACGCGGAGTGTATGGCAGTGCTTCGTTAGATTTGACATCTAATTGATGAGCATGAAATTGTGATAGTCTCTCATAGTTTCAGGAAAATAAACAGGTGCACAAATGTTCTAACCAACATTGGATGCTCCCATATCCAATTTTACATTTATGATAAAGCTCCTGATATTTTGAGATCCTTTTTAGATGATGGTTCTCTAAGTTTACACTCCCTAAAGGGTGTCCTTTTGTAGTTTTTTTTGAGTTTCGATCCTCTTTTATATAAAAAAAAAGGGTGAGTAAGACAAAATAATATTTAAATTATTTTATTTTAAAGGAAAATAATGATAATGGGAAAAATGATTAAAGAAGGTGAACACTCTACTCTACAAAAAGAAAATTATTTGCCAAGGGTTTAACTCCTCACAAATGGCAAAAACCCCTCACAAATTCAAAATTTTTAAGGGGACTGATCCCCTTGCAAAACAGGGGGTCACAAATTAATTTGCGAGGGGCTTCCAACGTCACCATTTTTCCAGGGGCTTTACCCCTTGCTAAATGTAATATGATTTTTATAGTCTGCAACATGCATACGTAGGTGCATGGTAGGTGGCAGTGTGTCAAAATTTTTGCTTGGGGTTTAACCTGTGGCAAAATATAAATGCTTTTCCATTTGCGACGGGTTAAGCCCTTGACAAATTGCAAACATTGACAATTTCCTAAAAGTTTATCCCCTGGCAAATCGTAAAAATATTTTAAAAAAATTAATATTTATAAAATAAAAATCAATAATAATTATTCTATTAAGTATATTATTATAATAAAATTAATATAATAAATATAACTAAACATAATAAATATAATAATTAAAATTCAATCAAACATAATAAAAGTTAAAATAAGACTTCATGCAAATTAAAATAGAATTTTTAAGTTCAAAATTAAAATATAAATTCTTTCATATACTAAAACATAAACTTATTTTTAATACTAAACATAAATTATATTATTTATAACAAGTAACCGATTTTTAATACTAAATATATTATACTAAAAGAGTATATAAATATATTTATCATATTATAACTTTAAAAATTAATTTCATTCTCCCGAATTAATATACTTTCTCTAAATAACAATACAATATATTAATAAATTTAATTTAAAAAAACATTATTGTTTTATTAATCTTTGTTAAACTGTTTTTTTAATTCTATTTTTAAATATATATTATTTTAATATTTTAATGTTTTAACTATTTTAATTCTGCTTTTTATTTAAATATATTTTAATATATTTATCATAGATTTATAAAACTGTTTTATAATGTTTTTAATTATGTTTTTTCTATAAAAATAATTGATATTTTAATTCTGTTTTTTCTTTAAATATAAATTTTAATGTATTTATCGTAGATTTATAAAACTATTTTTTAAATAAATATTTAAAAAGTAACCGTATTAAAAAATATACTATTTTAAAAATATATATTTAAATTGGTTTTTAACTACTATTTTTAAACTGTTTTATAATACTATTTTTTTAAAATTATAATGGTTTACAAGAATATTTTTAAATACAGTTTTTATATGTTATTTATTCTGTTTTTTTAAAAATAAATTATAAAAAATTTCATATTATTTTCTAATTATTTTTAAACAGTTAATAAACAATATTTCACAAAAATATTTCACAACAATTATATCACAATAATCCATTTTAATAAATAAACAAAATATAATTTTTTTAGATGTACCTTAAAGATGAGCACTTAAAATTTGAATTCTTTAGTAGCTTTATATGATAACAATAAAATCTTAAATTTAAAATCAAAAATTAAAATTATTAATAAATATCTAATATAAACAAAATATTATAAATTATATATAAAATCAAATATAATTTTTTTTTTTACCTTAAATATATTTGAAGAATATATTTGAAGATGAAGATGAAGTGTTGAAATAGAAGAAGAAGAGAAGATACTGTAAGTTTAATGAGAGAGATGAAAACTTATGGAAAGGAACATATGGAAAAAAGTATGGGATATATAAAGAAATTGGGGAGGGGGGTACTTGTGGAAAATCTAACGGTTACTAATTGCCAGAGGTTGTCCCTTGCAAAATGCAACTTCTATTTCCAATACAGACTGCACGCATGCACATGAAGGGGTTGCTTTGACTATACAACATAATAATTAACGAGTGGGTGCACCGTGAGATTAAAACATTCTGATTTGGCTAGGGGTTTCCCCTCGCAAATTACAAAAGACTTTCTGACAGCCTGGACACTAGTGGCAATTTACGAGGGGTTATCCCAAGCAATTGCTACAATGTAATTTTGTGATGTTTTACCCCTCACTAAATGTAAAACGGTTAAAATTTTCAAAATTCAAAATTCCCTCTTTAATTATAGCGACAAGTATCCCCACGCCTTTTTTATTTTATTTTATTTTCTGATTAGTTGTTTGCGAGAGGGTATATCCCTAAGCAACATTTGAATTTAGTGAGAGGTATAACACCTCACAATTTCCCCTGGCTAGTACCATTGAATTTAGTTAGGTATCGGTACCTTCAACCAATCAAATATCATGATTCAATTCCATATCATTTTATTATTTTATTTTATTTTAAAATAAATTAAAATTTTATTACAATTTATACTAAAAAAATACGGATACCCAACTAAGATAAATTAGATCATGGATACTAAAGAATTTACCTAAAATAAATTCGCTTGTTAATAGTTTCTTTTGAAAAAGGAAATAAATAATATAATATAAATATATAGTGGAGGAATATAAAGCTATATAATCAGTGACTACTAGGGTTCAACTTGAACAACAATAGAAACTATGAAGCCGCATCCATTGTCATTCACTGTTCTCCCCAACGAACTCTTGGAAGAAATATTTTCCCTGCTCATAGTAAAATCTCTTATGCGATTCATATGCGTTAACAAATCTTTCAATACTCTCATTTCCCATACTTACTTCATTCACATGCATCTCAATAAATCACAACGAAACCCTAACCTCGCACTGATTTCGCAGCAAAATTACAATTTTCCAATTAAGATGCCATAACCTTTTCAACATCTCATATACTCGATAATCCACTAGACACCTTTGAATTTAATGCTTACTCTAGTTGGTTGGTTGTTGGTTCAATCAATGGATTACTCTCCTTAATTGATATGAATATCAATACTTCACCTCTCAATCGCGATTCACGACTTTGTTTCTGGAATCCGGCCACTAGGGCAAAAACTGAATACTTTTTAGCATCTTCTACTAATTACTTTCAGTTTGCTTTTGGTTACGATGCTTTAAATGAAACCTATAAGGTGGTAGTGTTTCATGTAGAGTCGGATGTGGATGTGAAGCGTGGTAAAACAAGAGGAATGGTTAAGGTTTGTAATGCAAGAAGCATGGTGAAAGTTTTCAGCATGGGGGACAATTCTTAGAGAAATATTCAATGTTTTCCAGCGCTTCCGCTTTATAGGTTTAATAATAGTAGTAAGAACAATGGTGTGTATTTGAGTGGTACTATTAACTGGTTGGCTCTTCGCGATAACTTTTGTTTCGATTATTTGTTTTGTTCGAATGAGGGTAGTATTGATCTTGAGCAATTTGTGATTGTTTCACTTGATCTCTCCACTGAGACATACACCCAATTCTTGCTACCTCGGGGTTTTGATCAGGTGCCACGATTTCAACCATCGCTTGTGGTTTTGAGGGACTGCCTTTGTTTTTGTCATGATTTTGTGGAAACTTATTTTGTTATATGGCAGATGAAGGATTTTGGAGTTCATGAGTCATGGATTCAATTGCTTAAAATTAGTTATAATTTTTTTTTAAATGGTTGGATTTGTGGCCGTTGTATCTTTTAGAGAATGGTGATACATTGATATTGGCAAATGATGTGTACGACGAGGCATTTATCTATAATTGCATAGACAATAGAGTAACAAAAATTGAAATTAATGACAATATATTATGGTCACAAAAAGATTTACATTGAAAGTTTCTTATCAACTCATTTAAAGTGAGTTTATCTTCCATTATTTACTTGTTTGAATACGTGTTACTTTATGTATGTTGCTATAAAATGTTTTATCATTAGGTAGGTTCTTACTCATCACGTGAACTGTTGTTGCAAAAAATATGGAAATGTGGACACTATGACAAGATAAATATAGATGGAGGAGACTGCAATTGAAGATGTTGAAGCAACATGAGAGTAAATTTTCAATCAGTTAGAATGTACTTTTGTCCGGCAGATATTAAAATTCTTTTTTAGTTAAGATAATTTAAATCTTAGTTAGTACTTTATTTTGAATTTGCTAAAACCATTTAATCAAACAACAATTAAGATGATGTATTTGTTACAATTTAACCTTGATTATATAAATTGTTTTACAATGTCATCTCCAATCTTCTTTTTGTTACCGCTTCTCACATTGAGCTTGCAATCACAACTAGCAAGTGTTACTCAATGAATATTGAATAAAACAATGTTCATTTGAGAATTGTGAGCCATTTATTATAGGAAATTACTTAGGTAAAGTTCTTTAATTACTTTTGATCCAATTTTGTACAAGAATTCACAGAAACTGTCTGTCAAATGTCAACTATAAAACCCATAATAGTTTAAACGTCCCTTCTAGAGAAACTTATATGAGGAACCAGAAGAACTTTACTTAAGTTTTTTTAATAGTGTAGCAATAGAAATGTTTAAGACTAAGCCATTGGATTGACTAGACTTATACAGATCAAAATAAAAATCGCCACCGCGCTTTATTATTTCCAAAGAAATGGGAAAAGAGCGAGTAACCCAAATAGAGGGGGAAAGATTCAAGGTAAGGGAATTGGTTATGCAAATGGAAGGTATTAGCACCCTAAACATCTATGGTACTCCGCAAAAAACTCTTTATAAAATATGTATATTTTGGCTATAAAATGTTGTATAAAAAATAGATGGTGGAAGTGAGAAAAGAAATGTATTTTGCACCCGCCACAGTTGTGAACCTTTAGTGCCTACGTACCACCTTTCGTGCAATAGGGGATCAAGGTACACGTAGTTCACCTTTTAAAAATTTTAAAACACAAGTGTGTTGGTTAATTTTATGAGATAAGACATCATCGTCATTGTCCGTGTGGAAAATATACTTACTACTCACAATCATGAGAAAGGAGAATTTGCATCATCTCAAAGTGGAGGATATGGCTTGGATTTTAAAATCAACAATGCCTCACTCAACACCCAAGTGGAAAATATCTCACTTCACTACATATTATAGAAGTATAGTTGTTTGCATCACTACAAGGATTGACAAGATTCTAATCTTTTTAGAAAAATTTTAAAGTAAAAGCCAAAGCGGCAAAATGGTTTGAAATGGGATTGATTGACTTTTAGTCTTCTCACAAAAAATGTCAAGGTATTATTAGGTTGATTGAAATTTATTTATGAAAAGGTTTTGAAAATGCATGGACCTAGGTCTAAGTTTATTATGAAAGTGGTTCAAATTTAGAAAACAAGAAGAGTTTTCAAAAGGAGGGAGAAGATTTTTGAAATTAAAGAAGATGGGAGGAGATGAAGAGACTATCCTAAAGCATACGGTAAAAGCTATGGATAAGAACTATCTAACCAATAAGAAGTCAATACTTGACATTATGAGTCAAGATAGAATTCCCATTCTTTGGATTGAAACCAAGAAAGCAAAGATACTAGACCTCTTGAGAGAACCAAACTTCAAGTGTATTAAGTCTTCATAAAAATTGGGCAGAGTAATGACTGTATACGAGTGAATTCTAGATTATAAACAAAGTATGTAATCATAATAACCTGCACACAAAACAAACAAACAAACCAATGTCTTGAGGTAAACCTCAAGAACTCCAGACAAAATATCAATTAAGGTCACAAGGGCTCCAACATAGGCTAAGGTTTCTAATCCTAAGTCCAAGAAGTCCAATACTCCATAATGCCAAGGATAGTAACCAAATAGTCCAAGTATCATTAAAGTTTTTTATGGTTCATGTTGATTATTAAGTATCTTAAAAAAGAAAAGAAAAGCTCAAGTGAGCAAAATAAAAATGACAAGAATATAAAGGAGCTTAAGTGAGCAAAGATGAAAAATAGCATGAAATGTAAATGCTAAAGTAAATAGTGCATAAAGTAAAGAGCATAAAATAAAAGCATAAAATAAAGTCAATTGTTAGAAATTAGTGGTTAGTTGGATGACCATCTTGAAACTTGCATTTGGAACTCATTAGAGGATTGATAGAACCAAAGCCTCCACACAACAAGTTGCATTTGCTTTTTTTCAAGTATATCATCCATTTTGGAATCCTCAAAAGTAACATTTAATGATCAACGATGTTTAAGTGATCCGCGTTGACCAAAAGTGATGTAGATCCATTAGAGGATTGGTAGAACCAAAGCCCCCACACAATGAATCTCAAGGTTATTGGATCAAAGGGATCAAATTAACATATTTGGGCTTGCAAACAGAGGTTTGGGCCACGAATGATTATTTTTTCTAATCGAGACAAAATTTAGCGCTATGTTAAGCAATCGTAAGTGGACTTATATAGAAGTCGTACCTATTTTGAGGCCGGTCAATAGCAATCTATGCACCATTTGTTTTGAGACATGATATAAAGATCATGCTCCAATAACACTTAGTGCAATAAGAAAGGGATGAGATGAAGAAGGGTGAGAAAGAATATATAAACCACATTTGAATTAAAATTTAATCAAACTATTATTAAAATCATTCATCCATTTTCTATGAAGTTAGACTCAACACCATGGATCCAATAATATTAACAAAGTTCATGATCAAAAATTTAACCCAAGATCATCCAGAAAATAATCACAAAATAATATTACATTTAATATATACATTAAAAAGGGTTTTAAAATGAATAAAAATGATAATAAAGGAAAAAATATCAACTATATTCAAATTGATTTATAAAAAAGAAATAAGGTCATAGAAAAATCAGAAATAGACTCAAATATTTTTATAAAATTTTTGGCAATTTTTTAAAGTCAGAAACTATTTTTAAACTTAAAAGAAATGAGTAAAATAAACCAAAAATGATAAAAATTACAAATTCAGAAATAAAAAACAAATGAGGTCACCAATATTTGTCACAATGTTATTGGATCATTCCATATTTTTTAGAATTTAAAAAATGCACAAAAGTATTTTTAAACATTTAAAACAATTCAAATAAAGTGAAAATTTATAAAAAATATCAAAACACAAAATAAAATTTTAAAAAATAAAAATCAGAAAGAGAAAAATCAAAAATATTTTTCATAATTTCTTCAGATTTTTTGGACTTAAAATGAATTTTCTATGATTTTTTGAAGTTTAAAACAATTTAAATATAAAAATCAGAAAATAAAATAAAGTAAAAAAAATGTGGACCAATGGATGAGAGTCAAAACTCGTTAGTAAGCTAATCCAATGGATCAGACGCGTTGTGCATATCATGGTCAGTAATTAATGACACACATGATCATTAATTAAATCAAATATTCAAAAATTCCAAATGGCGCTGTTTCATTGGTTGAAGGATGACACGCTGGTCATCTTCAACCTCCAGCCAGTCTCAAATCGAGCTTGCTCAAACAGTAAAATTAGAGCACGAGACCGGTACCATTCGTTTCGTCTCATCAAGATGAAGACAACCACACATTCGCGAAAAATATATATAAACTGTAGCTCAAGCAATTTGGAAGGAAAATTTTGAAAAGGAATTTGAAAATTCATGGCCAAAACGTGTTTCCAGTTAAAAGAAAGTGTTGCGACTAGAACCAGGGCAATCAGAGTTTCACAATGATATTAAAGTTTGGAAGAATTGATGGAGAAATCTACCTATTGAAGTTCAGTTGCAGAGCTCTATAAATGGACTTGGTCAGATCAATTCAGAAGGTTTCAAGGCTCAATTCTTATTCTGTTAGCTTCAGGGAAGATCAAGGAAGGTGAATTGATAGAAAAAATGGATTGAAAAAGGCTTGAACAATGATTTCGAAGTTGCAGAAAAGTGAGTTATGGAGCGAGTTTGGCAGGATGATTTTGGATGTTCAATCTTGAGAAAACTAATGGGATAGCTCATGTATTTATAGGAGAAGCAAATGGGATCAAAAGGAAGGACGAATGATGCGATTTGGAGGGAATTCGTGTGGGTCTGCATCATGAAGAAAGTGTGACTTCTATTTTGTCAAAACTCATAAAAAATGCGCGTTTTAATGCACTAATCCATTTGGGAAAGTTGGCTAATCATGTTTAGACCCAAAATGCTTTCTAATTTGAGGGTTAGAAGTTGTAACATGAAATTCAAATTCTGACTTGCGATGAAACTTCAATTTCAAGTTACCACTTTTGAAACTATGGCATTCTCAGCTCAAGGGGTCTTAAGGCATGGTTCTTGATGCTTTAGAAATATGAGATTACAAGCTTTGCAATGGGAAAAGAATAGAATCAAATGGATGTTTGAGCTGGAAGTTGCAATGAGTCAAAGTTTGGAAAAAGAGGTTGACTTTTCATACTTAGGAATATTTCAATTTTTTCTTCAAAAGTAACCTATAATGTTTTGCATCCAAACATGGCCTTCCTCTTGGAATTTGCTCTTGACCAAAAAATATGGCATGATATAGACCTCTTGAATGAAATTTGAAACTTGAACCATTCAAAATATCCAAATATTGAGAGAGCTATGAATTGTTGAAGTTGGCAAAAAAATCATGAAATGACCTATAATATTTTGTATCCTTAAGGCATCCTCCATCCATTTTATCACTTTGCACATAAAAGAAGGAATAAATTTCACACCCTCAAGATCATTATGGAAAAAGAGTGGGCTCAAGGTGATAAAAATTGACCAAGTTATGATCATTTGAAGTCACACATGGGAAGTTGGGGGTTCATCTGGAGGACTTGTAATCTTTCTTCATCATCAAGTTTCTTCCACATGAAAATTCCTTGAAACTTTTGAAGTGATTTGTTAATAACCCTTTGAAGAGAAGGATGTT